GAAAAAAAAAGCAGACACGAGGGCCGGGGATAAAAAGCCCCCCGCCTATTCTGTCCACATCAGTCTCATGTGACATTGTATGAGAGATGAGTCTCTAAGAGGCCAAGCTCCCAGGAAGGGGTGTTCAGCGAAAGGGCTGACTTCTGCTCTTGATTATTCCTGTGCAGCCCTAGTTAAGTCAATGTGGGTTGCTTCCTTGCAGCTGAGAGCAGAATTTTCCACAGAGTGGGGGAATGTAATTATATTTTGGGGGTGTTTATCTGAACTAAGGATCCCCCCCCAACACTACTGTAAATATATGGCCTTGGAGATGGAGGTGCCTTGTGTAAAAAGTCTGAGGTGTCAGTCACTTGCTCACTGGACAATCGCTCCACTAAGACAGTTTTCTAGGGGACATTAACAGGGTCTGCAGAGTGCAATGGCTAAGACAGGTAAAGAGTTTGACCCAGTGTTGTGTCCTGCAGAAACAGCATCTCCACTGGGTGAGGGGTGTCGTGTGTTTTTGGGGGGGAGGTGGCGAAGGTAAGGATAGAGCAAGTGTGCACAAAGCTAGCCATCCTGGCTCTAGCCAATGCGATCCACTTCCTGAACATTACAAATCTCTCTAAGAACTACCTCAATACTGGCTACCTGTCTAACTCCCCCCACACACACTTCTCACGGGGCAGGGATGTTCTTACCCAAGTCCATGTCGACAGCCCTTGGCCTTTGGGAATAGGGGACGTTTTTGTACACCGCATCCAGAATCTTCTCTTTGACCTGAGTGATGGTGTCGCAGTTCAGCACCTTCACGGGGATCTCTGGGCTGTTCTCGTTATCGGGGTTCACACAGTTCAGGATCTAGAGGGGGAGAAGTCATCTCAAACGGCTCTCAAAAGGGCATCAGAGAAACATCCAGCATAACAGTGACAACGTTCATCGTGGGACAGAGACACTTAACACTGAATTCCCCTGAAAAGCCACAGAGTCTACATTTATATCACAGCTGTATATCATATCATAGCATATCACAATATCTAGAGTCTCCTTGGGAAGCTCATTAAACTAAGAGCTTCAGGATGTCCATTGGAGTTATGTTTAGGGGAAGGCAAAGGCATGGAGAGCTACAGATATAAAAAAGGATGACAAGTGTCTGCGATTCCACATGTAAACCCTGATTTTCCAAACTTTAGCAGCCAGGGCTGTTTGCACACAATCAAGTTAGGTACATACTTTATTTGCACATGGCCCTGGCACCCTGAGGTTTTGAAAATCGGGCCCATAACATTACGTGCACTTACGTCTTACAGCTTATTGCACATGTGGGCCACGATGTTGGAGTATGGGTTGAGCTGGCTGAGAATTTGGGCCATAAAATTGTGTATTTCCTGCTTGTGCTTTTGATGAAGGACCAATTCTGACATGAAGCAGGTAGTTCTACCCTGGGGCATCAGAGCTGCATAGATCCTGCCATTCCTGTATGGCTTCTCTTCACTTACAGTAGGTCACTTCAGCTGGAGAGGATGCGTACAGTTCAAAGCCAGGTCCCACAGACAGCCAACTCACCAATGTTTTGTACTCAATTTGCTGCCGGATCAGCTTGTCCTCACTCAGAGAATAGCGTGCCTCCCCTGTGATGGCATCGATAGGGCCCTTCTCCATCTGCTGCTTGATGGCACAGTACAGCATGAAGAGCGGCTCCCCAGCACACTCCTGTTCGACAAGACACACAGCAAAACCAAAATCTAGGTGAAAGTGCCTCTTCGGCAGGACCTTATCCTAATGCATATCTTTAAGCAGGTGCACGGTGCCACTGACTTGATCTTAACAACCGAAGTAAGTGTCTGCAGGTCTGCGGCCCAAAGCAGCACTTGGAGAGGAAAGCCAACGCCAAGGGCCCATTACTCAATGTGGGTATCATCCTTGGCTTGCCTCCCCACTGCTGGAGAGAAGGAATCCGAGGGTATGTCTACATTACAGCTGCTACAGCAGCACAGCTATGGTGCTGCAACTATGCCACTGTAGCGCCATAGTGTAGACTCTCCCTATGTTGATGGAAGGGGTTTTTCTATCGATGTAGCTAATCCACCTCTCCAAGACGGCAGACGTCTTCTGTCGACCTAACTGCTTCTACACTGGGGGGTTAGGTCGACCTAACTATGGTGCTCAGGGTGTAAAATTTTTCACAGTCCTGAATGATGTAGGGAGAGGAGTTGTTTGGGGTATTCCAGGGGGTACAGCGAGGTGAAATGGGATTACACCAAGCAAGGAAAGTTACACTGAACAGTAAGGCGGGCACATTCCCCATCAGAGAGATCCAACAGCCTGTGCACAGGGCTCCAGGGAAGTGGTAGAAGCTCCATTACCTGGGTTATTTTACATTACACTGAAAAAAGCAGTCAAGAGTTGACTGTAGGGAACTACACTTTCCTGGGTGTGGCCTGGACTAGATGACGCAAGTAGGTCTTTTTCTGAGGTGTGAAAGCCTCCTACGTGTCCTACACATGCAGCCCATCAGGGCTCACTGCTGGATGGCGATGATAGTCTGTTCCTTCAGCTAAACAGAGACAGGGAGACATGCACCAGGCATGCTTCATTGCAGGCTTGTCATGCACAGAACATTTCAAATGTGCAACATGCAACCTCAGGGTTGAACAAAGCTAAGCACAGAGATGGTTAGCTTAGACTCCGCTAATTTAACTACATCTCCAGATGCACATAGCACAGGTCTTATTTCCAGATCTCTGCTCTGCTATTGTCTCCCCCTTACTTTAGGCCTTGTCAGGCATTTTAAAGGCTGGAGTCACCCACTAGGTCTTGGGCAGGAGGAGCGCTATGGAAGCATAAGGAGAATGGGTAAAGACAGAAGAGGATCTCCACTCAGTCTCCCCCTCACCTTTAAGAATTTATGGAGGAGGAAGGCAAACCAGTTAGTCAACATCTTCTCAGCCACAGACTCGGTCCTGGAAAAAGACGAGAAGACATTTCATCATGTCTATTTAAAAAACTCAAAATAAATGACTTCCCGTCACACCAGTGACCCCGCATCTCAATAGTGCGGGAGAGCTGGGAAGTTTAAAAGCAACTATGGACAAAAGCAAATCTGACTTCTTGGACTAGTCTCACCCTCTCAAACTGAGTGAGGTATCGCTAGTTACAGACTCTCGGCATCCGTTAGCAGATAGGGCAGCACTTTTCCCACAGGCCTTTGGCCATGTGACCATCTTCTAATCACCCTCTCTGAGTGAACAGTGCCCATCTGGAGCACAAATTCACAACAGCATTAAGATTCTGCACTGGAGGATCTGGCATCATTGTCCCTCAGCCCTGCCCCCTCCCACATTTAGCTGACAAGTGTATGCAGATTGCTCAGGAACAGAAAGGAATAAAGACCAGCTGACAGCCCGTCATGAGCCCCTCTGACAGGGATGCCTGGTGGCACTTTAACTCCTTGCACGTGGTGCAAATTATACCCTATGGCTCAGTAAATCACTGGAATTTGCAGTGGTTGCTGGCAATCAGGGACAGCAGAGTGACAATGGCAGGGGAAATTGCAGCTTTCTCTGCAGCCCCACCCAGCATTCTCTCCCCACATTGTGCCCAAGATTATCTCTAATTTAAATACAATGGCTCCTAATGATAGTTTTTAATGCTGGCTCTGCAGGATTGCTGGTCTCTCTTTAAAGAGACACTGTTCCTTTTCTTGGAAATGAGGAAAAGCTTTTGAAAGCAGCACTGGGCTGGTGACAGGACGAGGGGCCCCCTCATCTGTGAGACCCTGAACTGTGCTGCAAACGGTGTTCAGAAGCGGCTGTCAGGCAGGCTTCCAAGAAATGGTTGTTGCTAGCATGGCTATAGATCAGTGGACAAGGATGTTTCTTTTGTTGCCAGCTGTGCTAGCTGAGAATTCGACATTGGTGAGGCCTCATCTGGAATATTGTGTCCAGTTTTGGGCCCCACACTACAAGAAGGATGTGGAAAAATTGGAAAGAGTCCAGCGGAGGGCAACAAAAATGATTAGGGGTCTGGAGCACATGACTTATGAGGAGAGCCTGAGGGAGCTGGGATTGTTTAGTCTCCACAAGAGAAGAATGAGGGGGGGTTTGATAGCTGCCTCCAACTACCTGAAGGGGGGTTCCAAAAAGGATGGAGCTCGTCTGTTCTCAGTGGTGGCAGATGACAGAACAAGGAGCAATGGTCTCAAGTTGCAGTGGGGGAGGTCCAGGTTGAATATTAGGAAACACTATTTCACTAGGAGGGTGGTGAAGCACTGGAATGCATTACCTAGGGAGGTGGTGGAGTCTCCTTCCTTGGAGGTTTTTAAGGCCTGGCTTGACAAAGCCCTGGCTGGGATGATTTAGTTGGGAATTGGTCC